AAATCTCTTTACTCAACTAACGCGATCCACGTCGGGGACGCAGAGAAAATAATAACGCACGACAACCCCTAAGTCGAATTGGGGTACTTAATTCGGCACTTGATGTTGGAAGTTGCAAAAATGGGAAAATCTCTCTCGACTGAAACTTCTAAATCGCAGGCCAAATTGTGCTGGATGCTTGGCGGTCTTGAAGAACGCAGCCGCCATGCAGAAACGGTGCTACAAATGGACTTCTTCCACCTTCAGTACCGACTACCTTGTATAGATTGAAATTATTTTAATTATCCATATTATTAATATTCCTTAGTGTGGCAATATAATTCAAATGTTTGGTGTATATTTTTTTGCATAATACACGCAAAAATATTGAGATTGGCATTTGGGCATTCAACGTTTTTCAGGCTTCAATGTTACCCATGCTCTTTGTCTGCGGTAAAGCTGTCCTACATGTTGGTTGAGCGCGAAATGCTCCTCTGGTAGCAAATGAATGAGCAATTTGGTGGTCAATCTGTTGAAAGATTTGTCTCTTTCAATCACAACCAAAGCTTTGTTTCCGTCACATATTTTCACTTTGATGCTATCGTCGGAAGGAAAAAACTTTTGTGCACCTCCAGCCGCATCGAGAAGAGACAGAAGCAGAAATGAAAGAGGTATTTTCAAGAAGTCGAATAATCGGATCGTGTATGTATGTATATATATATATATATATATACGAGGACAGCAATGGTATATAGATAGACAAAATGGTAAAGTTGGGATATAGAACGAGGCACAACGCATTTGCATAAAGAAGAAAAATTTTGCAATCATTTGTGACAATCAGGTCTGGAGCAACAATAGCTATTCGTGACTCGCCTGCCCCCGGCTCGAAAGCTACAGAACTTCCGATGAGATCTGAGTCAAGTCGACGCTGGGCTGCAAGACACGGAGAAGTTCACCCTTATTTACAGATCTCTCTTGCCTTCAACTACTCGAGACCAGTTCATCTGGCAGATCTGGCAAATGCAGGACCATGCCTGTTTGTGTACTACTCCGAAACCATGTTCAAGGCCGGGAGATTCCAAAAGATTTTGAGTAATTCGACTTTTCATTTCGAAGAAAGTGAAGTAAATGAAATTAATTTGTTTCCTTTGCGAATAGGCTTCAAAAGTAGCCGTAATTCGCTACTAATATCTTTATTCACCCCAAGTCGATTTAGCTGATACAAGGTGTGATAGCTCATTTTTATACAATAAAATAATTAGGCCCCACATGTCCTCGCTTCCGAAAAAATATTGCCACCTGAGGTTGACTGCAATTTCGACCTTGCCCCGGCTTCAGATGTAACCACAAGGGGATTATAATCCGTCTCATTGGTGTCATGGCGACATATTGCCACGGCTACTAGTCAGTCACAGGACAGATGTGAATTTTACGGCAAGCCCCACTTAAATTACATTTATAGCTGAGAGCTCTTAGTAAAATCTCGAAACATACTTACTATGATTATAAGTAGTGTATTATATTGTGATGAGAAAAAGTACAAGTTGGCCTCATCGACAATCCTATTATATAAATGTGATTTAGACCTGAAGGAGATGCACTCTTAGAGAGAGGAAATTATGGAAAATTACTGACAGAGCGGAGGGTCGGAGTTGAAATTGATTCTTAAAATAGAGAGGCAAAAGACTGTGGTATATGAAGAAAATCTAGTTCTCGAAGAATGGTTCTATCTAGTTGTCGCAATTTAACCGTGCTTCCAAGACGACCAAGATGAACATACCTTGTTGCGAGTCTCTTGCCAGGTTATTTATGAGAATTTCCAACGTTGCACTGTGGATTGAGCATATTCCTTTAACACTTTAGTTCGATTCGACTTTTAAAAGGGAATATGTCCACTAGAGGATATGAAATAATATCATTCAGAACACAGTATCTGCCACATGCAAGCCAAGTAATAGGTGGCATATAGAAATACACAAAACAGCCAAAATTCTGAATAGGACAGACGAGAGTATGAAATGGAACGGGAACTATTTGTTACTGTTGGATGAGCTTCATGAGAGCGATGAGCAAGAAATGTTGAGCGAAGAAGGAGGCTTGAATTGTCCCGAACCAGGTTAGCTCTTTTACACCTCACATGACTTGAACCTTGCATGCATTTATTACAATACACAATAACACACATTAAAAAATGAGTAATTGTTTCATGGCCAAACTCTGGCCTTTTTAGGAGAGGCAATAGTTGTGATAACATTCGCTTTCTTATCACACGAGCTTGAAGTTAGTTCTTAGTGAATAATTACTGGGAGTTTCGAAGTCTACTCATTTCGAAAATAAGTAACGTATTCGACTGCAATGGCAAATACATGTTTGCTCAATTGTCATTCATATCATAAAATATAATTTGGCAGAGGCCTGGCTTTTCTTGAATGTCGCGTCTGCCCTGTGGCCGTGTGTATGAGCAATACCGAAACCCGCTGGAGTTGTTGACGTGACCAATTCAGGCAAGTCCGAGGCTGCCGTCCAGTCCGGCCGGGATGTGAATACTTTTGAGAGAAAAGGCAATGCGTGAAATTCAATCGTGGGAAAATTTAACCACCAGTCCTTCAGCAGATGCGATCCAGGATGAATACGGATTTAATGCTACTCATGAGTCAGTCGACAAGTTAGAGTACAAACAAGTCTCCAGATTGGTCAAACCTTTTTCTCTTACTCGCTGGCTCTTCCTTTTCCATCTAACCCTCCCTATCCCCAATTATATCAAGTTTCCACAGACATTGCAGCATGTGACCTTGCCACGCGTCCTTGTGTCAAAGGGTAGATGTGAATTTCAAGGATGACCAGGCCTTTTCCCATATCATATTGTTTGGTGGGATTGTCGATAAATCCACTACATTACTTATTTTCGTATAAGTAGACCTTTGAGACTACCAGTAATTTGAGTCCTTCATCACCTTCAACGAAATGGGGTGAATACATCTCATGTAATATGAAAAATACACC